TGTATTCAGAGGGAGCTGTTTTAGATTTAGGAAAAAGATAAAGGAGAAAAAAGCCACTGACTGACCTACTTAGCAACCTCCTCTTTTATGGGCTTTGTGAACTCACTGAAAATTCAAAGACATTTCTATACAGAGCCACCCGATTCAGAGAAGCTGTCGGCCGCAGTGGTACTTTAATAGATCCACACTCAGTCACCCTGCTGTCCTCCAGAGAAGCGAGGCCTTGGGGACAGTCTCATGCTCTGTGCGCTTTGTCTTTCACAAGTTCATCAACAAGAAATTTGGGACTGGTCTGCTGAGTATCAACATGCGTTTTCTCCTCTCTGAGTTCCATAAGCTCTTTTGACAGATTTCTTGTTCTTTGCATCACTTTCATTAGGATTTTTCTTTCAGGATTTCTTTGCTGCTTTTTTCAAATACAGCCATACTTGATTTTATCATCAAATCTTCCTATCTTAGTCACGTAGGTTTTAAGAGGATTCAAGGTCACATTACTTTCAGTATCCAATGATGTTTTCAGGAGTAAAATAGGTGCTTTGACATGTTCCTGTCATTGCCTATTTGTGTGCCTTTACTACCAATGGAAAATACTGGTGGCAATGTACCTATCGCCACCAATGGAAAATGACATTTGTTTTATCTTTCAAGTCACTTAAGGTGACGTACAGATCATAGAGCATCCAGAATGAGTAGCTTCCCGATGTAAGATTCACTATTCTTGCATTTAAGCCCAGTCTAAACAGTTTGTTATGCAATTGGTTCGTAGGAGAATGAGAATCCAATGACCAACACGATTTCATCTTTCACATGTTCAGCTTACTCCCAATACTAATTACCTTCTAATACTAAATGCCTTCTTAATACAGTGACTACATCAGTGGGACCAGCCTGGTTTATGCATATTTACTATATAGACTGAGACATGGTTTGTCTATCAAATACATCCTGTTATTACCAACTACTGACAATTTGGAAATTCAAACATTCAAATATCACTTACTCAGAATTTCATACAATCTTGTACCCCAACAGAGCTCTCCTTTCCAAATTAAATATTTACACTCGAAAACCTTTGCTTCACTTAGGTCCCAACATTCTCATTGGGGTTCCTGATATCTATGAAACACTTTGGAAACCAAAAAGCCACAACGAAGCAAGCACACGAACATACCATTCAACAAATAGCTAATTCTGTACTTCCCAGAAATCCAGTCGCAAAACAGTGTGCCATTTGAAGCACAGGTTGTCCACAATGGCCAGGTAGCTTCATTTTGAATCTAACTATACAATCGCAACCCTTCTTTTTTACAATACAGTTTCATTATGTCAAAGTCAAGAGAACCAACACATGTTTCCTATTTGCCAAACAAGATGTTAAATGCGAGACGCTCTCCAAACCATGTTTCATACTTTAAAAATTGTAGATGACCTATGCTTATAACACGCACAATTCCTTCCTATGTAGTAAACTCTCTAGGTTCAACAGTCTTTTTATTTGCCAGCCATTTTCTATAAAGAAATCAATTCAGTCGAAACCAAAATGGAAAAACCTGACTCATTTATTCACGAGGCGGGAGAAGGAGGGGAAAAAGCAGAACAAAAAATGTCCTAGGACTCGAGAAGTACCCAGATCTGAATTCTTTTATCTCTGGATGCCCAGCCAGGCAGGCACATGGGTATACGTTGGGTTGTAGGTGGTTGTCACGAGTTGGGAAGGGCTGTGAAACAGGGAGAGGGAGGGAGGGAGAAAATAAGTGTGTATTTGTTGGGGGGGGGGGAGGGGGCGGTGTTGAACGGTACCACCTAAAAAGACAGTTTCCTTCCAGACCATAACCATTTAAATGACTTCTCTTCGCCAGACTCAAGGATCTGGAAGAGTCAGTCGTTTGGAGAACCAGCTCCTTTTAATTTTGTTACTCGTTGCCCCTCAGCAAAGTTACCAAAGGCCCAGCTGCCAATCCCCATTCCACCCCTCCAACCGAGGAACCCTCACTTTTCACAGAAACAGAAGAAAATTAATTTCACCTTGCAAGTGGGGAAGAGAGGCAGCGGGCGGCTCAAAACCAATGAAATCGGTACGCGCGGTTCTAGGGGCCTATCCAGGCACCCGCGCTCCCAGCACCTGGCACTAGGTCGGCCCATGAGCAATCCGGACCTGGGGAGCTGGGGAGCTGGGGGTCTGGGGAGCTGGGGGTCTGGGGACCTGGGGAGCTGGGGACCTGGGGACCTGGGGACCTGGGGGTCTGGGGGTCTGGGGACCTGGGGACCTGGGGACCTGGGGAGCTGGGGACCTGGCCTAGCCCACCCCGGCCCAGCACCGCCTCCTGGGCTCCCTCGTTCTCCCTCCGTTGCTCGGCAGCAGCGTCTGCAGGTGCTCTTCGGCCCACCCCCACATTCTAATCCAGGGTGTCTGGAAGGCGCCACCTTCCCCGCCTAAAACAAACAAACAAAAGGACAGGACCTACCCACAGAGCTCCAGTGTCGCCCGCTCCTGCGTCAGGTGTCACGGGGAAACAGGGCCAAGGCCAGAACTTCAAGCTTCACGCCCCCGGGGGCGACCTGTTGGCTACTCGCGATGCCGGAGAACACACGCCGCGGCAGGATTCAACTCCAGGGCGTGCGGAGCGGGATTTAAAGTCCGACTGAGCGTGCTGGGGAAGAGGCAGGTGAGGGTGTTTTATAGAAGGAGCAGCAGGTCCCAGGAACACCTGCTCGGAAACTATGCAGGTTTGTGGAGGTCGTGGAGCTGCGGACACAGGAGAAGCCCTTTGCCAGCCAGCCTGGGGCCTGTGGCCGTCTCCTGGCTCCTGGGCTAGGGCAAGGCGGAGACGAGATGGTGGTCATTACTAAGAACCTCCTGATGTTCTCACACCCCGCTCTCTCAGGTGGCCCAGAGCACAGCTGGCAGCGGTATGCAGAGCCTGTACCAACGGTCTCGGCATGGAAGCCACATTTATAAAATGTAGTCAGCAGTATCTCTTTGTGCCCTTTGGGACATTTTAGCCAGGGCAACATCCTAAGCATCTCCCTTCTCTACTGTGCTGTGCTCGGGAACTGTAGACTCCTTACAGGCATCAACGGTGACTCTTGACACCTGTTTCTAGTCGAGAACACGCTGGGCAAGGAGGAGCAGAAGGAAACGTGGTTATAATTGATCCCCAGACTTCCCAAGCGCAGCTGATGAGCTTCCGACACGCCCTTCCTCACCCCTGGATGGGACAGGACGCCTTTGCACCCGCAGCTGCTCCCAGGGGCTGGGCCCAACCTCTTCCTTCAGTTTCCACTGCACCTTGAGGGGTCTGAACGCGGACATCCTGTCCAGGGCTCTTCAAAAGGCCAAAGGAACCGGCGGAAGGTAGCATGGACTGCTGTGAAACCCAGCAGAGACCAAGCGGGCGGAGACAAGGTAACAAGGAACACCATGCTGCTGCTGCTGCTGCTTTTCCTACCGTCTTATGGAGTCCGTCGCTATTCTAAGGCGGAGCTTCACGGCTTTCCCAGCCAATGGTGAGTGATGCTGGGGACGGGGAAGGAAGGACCTGGATTCCACGCAAGGCAGAGTGGACGGTGAGGTAAGAGTATGTGAGGGACAGATCCTGACGGAGATCTAAGCTCGATGCAGGAAAAACGGTTTCTCAGGAACCAACGGGCTACCGGGATGGAGGGAGCAGGTGCTCCTGGGAAATGGCACGGCGCTTCTCTTGCTCCCATCGTTCCTTCACATTTGTAGACTCTTGGCCTTCAAGCGGCAATGTAGAGAACCCACATTTGGAATCACGAAGAGCTAGGAGCAAGTTGCCCCAACAGATGCTTTAGGTAAGGAATCTGACTTACCTGAGCTTTCATTTCTTCATCTATAATCACCTTTTATAGGTAGTAAAACTCACAGACACGAGGTACTGAAGTGCCTAGCGCAGGGAGGCACTCAAGAGATGCAGACCTTGGTTATGGTTAGGAATTGAGGAGGGCCATGGAACCTGCCCTTTCGCCCACGACCACACTTATTCACAGAGAGACCTGTGTCCCCAAGATCCTTCCACTCAAAAGTGGTTTTTAACAAGAAAATATCCCTACCCTATTTGTCTTCTTTGTAAATCGAAATACTCTAGTACTGATAGCCTCCAGAGTCAGTGACAAACTCGAGTTAGTGTCAGGTGCTTTGCATTACAGTGTGGGTGATCTCCATCGCCTAGAGGAAGAGAGAAGGGAACTTTATCTCTTTAAAGACTTAGGGCAGACCCAGAGCAGTAGCCTAATAGCTCAAGTCCTCATCTTGAATGCCAGGATCCCACATGGACGACAGTTCTAATCCCAGTGGCCCTGCTTCCCATCCAGCCCCCTGCTTGTGGCCTGGGAAAGCAGTCGAGGGCGGCCCAAAGCCTGGGGACCAACCCTGCACTGACGCAGAGACCCTGAGGGGGCTCCAGGTTCCTGGCATCAGATCATCTCAGCTCCAGCCATTGAGGCCACTTGGAGCATGAATCAGTGGACGGAAGATCTTTTTCTCCGTATCTCCTCCTCTCTGTATATCTGACTTTGCAATAACAATAAATGAAATTTAAAAAAGAAAGACTTGGGGCCCATGAAACTCTGAATTCCTGGCTGGGATCCTCTCCTTCCTTCCTCTTCAAATGTTATCACAGATTGTTATGTTACTTCAAAAAATGGAAGAAACATAGCTTTCCATCCTTAGTTTGTCCCATGAGAGCAACCCTGATGACTTTAAAGCAATTCAGGAATTCTAAGGAGTTTGTAGCACTAACTCAGGTTCCTCTTGAGGGCCCAACTAATTCAGCAGTCAAACAGAAGTAGGGGTGCGCTTTCTGGGCTTTGGGGGATTAGGGAGGGCATCCTAAGAGGCTTCAAAATGTCCCCCCCTAGTGAGACAAGCATCTAAATGTCCTTTAGAAATAGACCCTAACTCACTTCTCCAGGGTTATTTTCAATGGATGAGTTTTCTGCACCTTAAATTACTTCCTTGCATATTTTCCATTACATAATTTCTATAACTGAGATTGTTTTTATTGAACATGTCCTTCTTTGAAAACACTAGAGAATGTAAAAGTCTCAGCAGTTCCCAAAGCATGGCATTAGAATGAGACAAAAAGGTGTGGTTTGTTTTTTTTTCAACAAAAAATTTAAAGTTATCTATTCGACTTCCTCACTGTTAACTAAGTTTGACTCCTCATTCATGCCCGTTTCATCTGAGCCCGTGGAAGTCATGTCCGTCAAATTTTTAGATTTTGACCTTCTTGTGCCTGATTTTCTCAAATCTGAAGAAGTGGTGCCCCAAAATGTGCTGCTCTCTGCACTCTTAGAAAAAGATGTGTCTGATACACCTTCTGATGGATGGAAATAAGAGAGAGTGGCCAGCTCAGGGTTGATAGAGTATTGGCTCTCACAAGTTTTATAACTGAAAAGGAAAAGAACACACATCAAGAATTGTTTTTCATTGTGTACATTTGTAACTCAACTTAGAAAAGCATTAGCAAAAGTTAACTTCTGTCCAAGGTATTACTTAACATTTAATAAATGATACTTTCCCCCCTTAATTGTAACTTTATTATATTTGCTACCAGTGTGGATGAAGCATATTTTAAATCTTAAGACTAGAATTTAAAACCAAATTATAAAACAGGAAAATCTGCTTTAATGAAAGTTTAATATGAATCATGTGCAAAGAAACTGAGAAAGGGGGAATAAATAACTAGGATTGTCCCAAATACATCATTCATCTAAAATACCATCACCAAAAAAATGAATGACTGATGTTCTTTTAGGATTTCTAAAAGTAAGGCGTTACACTGTGTGATAAATTTTAAATAATCCTCTGAGTCAGATTTGAGTTGAATTTCAACTTTTTCTAAGAAAGAACGAGTGAATAACTTTTAAGGTATAAATGCAATGGAGATTTGCTGTTTTTAAAAGGCCTTAAGCCTTGTTTGAAGGAAAAAAAAAAGACCCCAGGAAGATGTGCTCTTCAATTCCCTGGACTATCATCACAAAAATAGCAAATGGAAACTTCTCTACTGTGTTGCCAAGTGACTAAGGCTGTCTATCAAGGGACAGTAAAATGCAGGGTGGAGTGCGTTTGGTGTGGTTTGGTTTCCCCCGGCCCATACTGCAATGCCTGGATTCAAGTCTTGGCTCTGCTGCCCTTTGCAGCTTCCTGCTCGTGCGCCCTCTGGTGGGCAGTGGCTGATGGCTCAAACACTGGAGTCCTTGCCACATGCGGAAGACCCGCACAGCATTCCCATCTCCAGCTTCCGTCCAGCCTCATCCCTGGATGTCGTGGGGAGTAGTATATGAGAGATCTCTGTCTAAGACTCTGCCTTTCAATAGATAAAATTCTAAAAAATGGAAATGAAGTGTTGGGGCAAAGTTTAGGTAAGATATTCCCTGAGAGACAGTCTCATGTTCCTTCTGCATAGGGGAAATAAAGTCAAACTGAACACTTTAAACATTCGGGAGAATTCGTATATTTGGGAGTCACATATTCCTAACAGTCTCCTAAAGAGTGAGGAGTGAGCTCGACATGGTGCGCTGGTAGTGAGGACTGCAGAGCTCTGCAGACTTACCTCAGCTGCTTCAGTTTGTATAGGGTGGCACTACAGAAGGCCAAGAGGATGACAAAAAGGAGAAGGGTCATCAAGGCGATGCCCAACATTAATTTGAGCTTGATATCCTGTAGCTCTAACAGTTTGTCGTAGTTGGTGGCATTTATATCAGAGCCTGAGAGGAAAGAAAGAAAATGCAATGGAAAAGAGTGTGTTTGTTCTGTTATCCTGGGGTTAACAAAGCCCTGCACTGGGCGGAGAAGTCACTGCTCACTCCTCCCTCGCGGTCCTGGGCAATGGAAAGGCTGCTCGCTCTGTCCAAGCACTTTTTGCTTTCACCTGTGCAGCAACTGTGAAGGAACTGCCTTTGGCTCCAACTTACAGGATCGCAGATGTTGATGTACTACTGGCCCATGGCACACAGCTGGTGAATGGAAATCTCTGGACTTAAATCCAGGATACTAAATGTGAAAACATGTGTATTTGACAGACTCTGCTAAAAACCAGATGAAATATAAAGTCTCTGAAGAGCTCTTGATGAAAACAATTGCAAGGGGCTGGTCCCTCAGAAGACAGATATTCTATTATTAGGACATGCATTTTTTATGTTCAATTGTAATGATAAAATTCTTGATGCTTTATGAGGCTTAGCTGTTAAATTTTGCATTTCATCACTCATGGGATAAAACCAAATGTATCTGACATTTAATAAAGAAATGGAAACACCTTATTTAACTTTCTAAAATCAGTAAAATCATGTCTGAATCCAGAGATATCAGGAGTCTCTGTACTGTATTAATGAGCATTTATCTTTACTGTCTCATTTTCTATTTCCCTCAATCTACTTCCGACTTAGGAGAATGTGTTTATGGATGGTTTAGATGATGTGTGCTCTCTCTTTCCACTTTCTCAGCTTCCCTTCACCCCAACCCAGAAGTTCCAAAGTCTTCACCATTATATAGATGACAATGTTTAAGTAAGAAAGAATGACTAAGTCCCATTTGTCCATTCTCTGTAATCACAGATGCTATGGAACTGTATCATAAAATAAATAAATTTTTAAAAGATTGCAGCAGCTGTCAAAGTGTGGCCTAGAACCAGTACAGTGAGATGTGCCTAACTGTCAAGGACTGTTTTATATGGCTTTGAGGTCGATTATTTTGGATATAATCGCACAAATGATAGTTAAATGGACCACACTCCTAAATTGCTTCTCTTGACCTTGACTGCTACTTGTATGAAGAGGAATGCTGGCAGCTTATCATGCATTTCTCTGTCCCAGTGATGGTCAGGCCCACAGTTGGGTTTGGCATTCCTAAACACTAGAAACTTACAGCAAAGCAAATTATGAGCTTGGACAGACTTCCCTTTGAAGGCTCATTTTTCATATCTATAAAATGGAAGATAATACCAACTTTAGGATGCTGCTGTGAGGACCAACATAATAATGTATCCAACGTCCCTGGCATCCAGTGTGTGCTCAGTAGAAGAAAAATCAATGAAGCTCAATTTAATCACTGCAGAGAAATGACAGAGTATGTCTAAAACAACCCAGCTTTGATCATTCTTATATATAACTCTCCTAAACAAAGAATATTTGCTCTGTTGTCTTAAAGCTATACAAGACAGATGACCATACTTGCCAAACAGTCCAATGCAGACTGAAATGACAGGATTTAACTACCAGATACCATCTATTTGTGTGACAAGTTTGGGGAAGAAATTAACATTCGGCCTTGTCATTAAACTTTGGTGCAATTCAGTTCTTTTATGCATATAAACCTAATCAAATTGCTAGTGGAAGCTGTATTCAGTAATAGGCATCCACATTCAATGCTGGTGACAATGCAAAATGATAGCAGCCAGCTAAACATAGCCTTCTCATATAATCAGCAATTGCTTTCCTAACCATTTATCTACATGAGCTGAAAATGTATGTACCCACAAAACCTGCACACCAATGTTTATATAGCATCCAAAGCCATATGCTGCCAAGATGTCCTGCAATAGGTGAATAAGCTGGGGAAAAATCATACAGTGGAATGTTAGTGATAAGAAATGAGCTCTCAAATTTCAAATAAATGGGGTGAGGAAGTTTGAAGGCATATTTCCAGGTGAAAGAAGCCAATCTGAAAGGTTGCTTTCTGAATTATTCCATTATTATTATTATATTCCAATAATTGTAATTGTATTCCAATAATAACATTTGAAAAATGCAAAACTATCAAAAGTAAAAACTGAGTGGTTGCCAGGGGTTCCTGTGGAGGGATGGGATTGCTGGGAGGGGGCTTGGGGACAGCCACACTTTGGTTTGTGCCTGTGACGGTATATGCATGACACTGTGCATTTGTTCAAACCCAAAGAATCACGCATCACAAGGAGTAAACCCTAGTGTAAAATGTGGTCTTTGGTTAATATCCATATCTCGATATGCATAAATCAGTGTTCATAAGTTGTAACCTTATCAATGTGGAAAACTGAGGGGGCATAGTGAATTTCTCATTCAATTAAAAACCTTGCAAAAATCTATTTTTTAAGAAGATCATGTTACTTATATGCTCAGTCCTCCACGTAGTTTACCTGTTTTAGTAGAGGCTGTAAAATAGGAAGATGGGAATGACTATCCGTAAAACAGGAACCGGAAGGAATACACAGGAATTTTAACCTCCACAGCGTTAGATAGCCTGTCCTATGTGCACCTTGCTTGGGAAAACAGCATTGTCCTGTTGAAATGTGTGTGAATATTTATGTATCTACTAATTGAAATACTTTGTTCTTACCTGGAATTGGTTTATATAAATCATCCTTGTCGGCTTCTGATGCTGACTGATTTATAACTGTTAAAACAATAAAATGGTGTTATGGTCAACAGTTCTCACAAAGATTATGTGCGTAAATGTGTGTGTGTGTGTGTGTGTGTGTGATACATGGAGTCTATTCTCATTATTCATAGTGTTTGTACTCTGTGTATTTTAAATATCACTATAACTCAGGACTGAACCACATTTAACTAACGTGTGTTTTCTCCATGATCGCCTACTTGTACTCAGGAACACTAAGCAATGTAACACCACTCTTGAAGGCCAGCTCAAGGTATAACTGTGTACACCAAGCAGCTGCATTGTTTAAAGTTTTGTCATTGTCCACAAGTGACCATTAAGGGACTAACTAACAGTGTTAATTACAGAAATATTACTGATTTGGAATGCTAATACAAAATATATGACGATTGACTAAAAATACTATGTGTTGCACATAATACATTCATTTACATTCATTATGCATATGTTTATATGCACATATTCATGCATGAGTAGATTAATGGACACATTATATTTATGTGGATACTTAGGATATACATATTACTGTTAAGCATGCATATATTTTTATTTAGCCTTACATTTATACATGCATTTCCATGTGCTATGTCCACATTGCTCTAATCAAGAAGAGCTCTCATTGGGCAAGTACCTTATTTTTAAATTTCAAATATAAATTAAATTGAATTACCAAATTTTAACATTTATAGGAAAAATAAAATTTTGGTTTATGTGTGAAGTGGGAGAATCAGAAAATGTGTGATACTTGATCACTTTCTAGGTTTGTTTTGCATTTGTTACATGTGACAACACAATGTTGGCATATTGACTCTGTATTCAATTTAGACTGATCTTGTCTTCCATACTTAACATTTTCGAAAACGAAAACATTTCCCCAGCTGTATGCATTTACCTTTAGCTAACATGGACCAAAATTCAGGCAGATTTGGGGTTGTTTCTGTTTTGAGAAAAGAACAAGATAACAAAATAAGGTAATTAGCCTTAGTAATATCCATTCACCATTCATTTAGCAGTTATATCCAGAGCTACCGGGACCTGAGGCTGGCACTATGCAAAGAACACAGCATAACGTCCTCGTTGTGGAGGCAGAGCAGCTACTGTTGGCCATGTTGAGGGTTAAGGAAGGCAGAGGAGCTATGCACAGGGCCTAGGTCAAGTTGGGAAGCTCAGACACTCTTTGAAAGGCAGCTTTTGTTTCTGTATAGCCAAAAAGGCCTAGAAATGGCTCACTAGGCAAGCCAATCAGGGCAGCAAACAGTCAAGCAGGTTGAGGGAGCTCAGGGGGCTTCAGGTGGTCTGCAGTGAATAATGTAGAAGGGAAATATGACACATTCAGCTATTTACAATGGCAGGATGGTTTCATGTGGGAATGCTTGATTAACAGGTTAGAATATAACCCCCAAACCTAGTAGTTAATTACTAAAGATAGTTAAGAGAGGGGGTTCTAGGATGATCAGGTTTCCACTTTAAAACATATCAAAAGGTAAGATACATTTGGTAAGATACAACCTAAAGATGCATACTAATTCAGAGTAATCATATTAGAAGCATAATTGAATTGCATAGAGAAAACAGAGTTTCATTGGTAATTATCCAATGTTGTGAGTTAGATTGTTCACTAAGCACTGTAGAGGCCAGCCATACTACTACTTCACAAATAGTTTATATAGAAGAATACTTTCAGTAAAAGAGTATAGTGGTGATTTTAATTTTTTCAGTCTTCCACATGCAAACCCATTCCATTCTTCAAAAAAAAAATCTTAGGAAACACTAATGGTTGACGCTAACCAGAGGTAAGTTTATTCTTCGGGCAGTTAGAAACGTTTATAATATCAAATGTATTTAAAATATCTATGATATATATGATATGCAAATATGTATTTTATATAGATATGAATACATGTTTAATAAAAAATTACTTTTCTAAAAAGGCTCACTTCCTGCTCCTTTACCAAATTCTGAAAAGTGACTGAACACCTGAAAAGTGACTCTTAGATATTCACCCTTTAAAGGATTTCAGAATGACTTTAAAATATAGCAATATAAACTCTTTATGCGTGCTATTACTTTATGTAATGATCAGAGTAGTGAATCTTAAATTTTTAAGTCATGTAATGATATGCTCCAGATATGAATACAGTGTAGTAATTTTAATACTTTGAATATTTTTATGATAGGGCTCTTTTTCTTCAGTTTTTTCAGCACTTGCATTGCCAAGTTTATCTAGGAAAAGGAATAAAGGATTATCAGCATATGAAGAGGATACAAAAATTTTGACTCAACATCTGTGACTAGCTATATTTTACATAAAAGATGGAACGACTTAGAAAGACATTGAGATTTTTCTAAATAAAGAAGGGGAAATATAAATCTATTTGATGATGGGTTGCCTGAGTCAGGATTGACCGGCTTAAACTTTGTGAAAGAACAGCAAGGAAACACAGGACCAAGGGCAGGTGACACGCCTGGCTTTAGTTGGTTTTTTGGACCAGGTCTTGCAACGTATTCAGTATGCAAAGCAACTTGGCTGCCATAAAGTGCAGTGACAAGAAAGAAGACAGTCTTCAGAGTTGTAGATAGAAAGATTTTGGACTACAGGAGTAATTTAATATATATCTCAGTCTACAATATATCCAACTGGGTGTATGTATGTCATTAAAAGAGTGGCTGGGAATAATTGTGACTGGGTGGTCATTTCAGTGAACTCAGCTTAATGTAGGCATTGATAAAGTAATGAATGGAGTACAGCCAGCTCACTTCAGATGAGTTCTATAAAAAGGCAGAATGAATTCAGAATTCAGACTGAATTTATATACCCGTTACAGGGTGTCTGCTTACAAAGTTTTCATTATTTTATTTATTTGAGACACAGAGGAGCAGAGAAAAACTGATGGTTGTTGGTTCACTCCTCAATGTCCACAACCCAGACTGGGACACGGCAAAAGCAAGAGTTAGGAAAGCAATCCGGGTGGGCCAGGCAGGTGGCAGGAGCCAGAGCCCTGGAGCTATCAGCTGCTGCCTCCAAGACCTGTACTGGCAGAAGCTGGAGGCAGGAGCCACAAGTGCAAATAGAGTCCTGGGACATGGGCATCATAAATAACTGCCAGGCCAAATGCCTCCCTCCATTATAGGCATCTTGAAGACAAGAATGGAAGGGAAAGAAAATCTATATTAGAGTTGATAACAGTCCAGGAAGGACTTGAAAAATCATTAAGTAATCTTTACGATCTAGTATGCAGCTCTTTAACTCTACTTTGGAAAATTGCACCTGGACTGCCTTGACTTGCCCTCTGGGCCTTGGAGTTTTAGGAACTGCATGTCTGTAAGTAAACTTGACTCAGAATTTCCCTAGAGGCTTCCATTTCTTGAGAGGTAAGCTCTGCAGGCACACAGCCTCACTTTGCCCAGCTCGTGGTGCCAGGCTAGTGTTGTTGGTCAAAGCCTCTCTGAAGATGGCAAGAATTTTTTATCCCAACCCAACTTTGTCTGGAGCCTCTAGGAGCCAGAATTGTGGGATGAGAATTCAGCATTTTGGAACCTTTTCCTTGAATCCCATAGTCCTTAATAACCCATAAGGCATTTGGAGGCATTCGATCCATTTCACACTGGTCTCTCTCTTCTCAACCCAAATGATTAGATGTTGTTTGCTGGGAACAGGCAAGATTTCCAAAAGAGATTTATCTAATTAATGTATGACTTTGAATTGTAAATACAAAGGCTTGAAATTGCTGGAAATATTCCATTCTTGTCAAGTATCTGTCATAGTCATTAGGCATTACTCAGCTTGGCTTTTTCCAGCTTTGAAACTGCCACAGCCAGAAACATCCTCTCTGCCATGTTCAAAGCTGATGGTAAAAACCAGAAAACACTTCAATGTGAATTTTTATAAAGATATAGAATTCCTAAGATCCAAAATTTATGGAATTGACCTTTCCACACAACTTAAGGATAACTTTAGGATTGTTTAGGACCTCCCTGCCTCTTGAAATGATCGACGCAGTGGACATGTGGAGAACAGTGAAAAAGGAAAAGACCTGTGGGATGGGATGACTAAACCCAGTGGGGTCCCAGAGTCTGCTTCAACTAGTTTAACTTAGGAATTAACACTTGTTTCTACCCAACACTCTAGTACTGTTTTGAAATCCCGCATTAAGGCTTTTTGCTTGTTTTGCTAAGCTTTACGGTTTTTCACATGCGCAAAAGTGCCTACTTACAGTTTTTTAGAGCAAATCTCAGATCAGTCGTTGCTCTCACGGATATTTCAGATGCGGAGCCATTTGGATTCTGTGTTGTGAAAACATCTAAAAGCAAAAAATCAAGTCTTCAACAATTAGCCAATTTAACTCTTGTTGCTTTACTTGTTTCCTCATCTGATTTTTTTTCTTAAAAATATATGCACTAATTCCAAAAGAATGAGAAAAAAATAACTGAGTCATTTTCCAACTACAATTTTTTTTTAAGATGGGGCAATCTGAAAATCATGAGGAAAAATATGTGAAGAGTAATTCCAGAGGAAATCTATGTAAAAGAAATACAAAGCAAGTTGCAAAGAGATATGTAGATGCTCAATGTTGTCACTGCATTGGTATTACCAAAAATAAGTAAAACAGTGGAAGAGAAAAACTTCATTCACCCTTGACCTTTTCATTAGACTATAGAACACACATGTCAGCTTGAAACTAAACAGGTAGTTCAATAAAAATCAGGATCTGCCCTCATACTTGTATTTCCACAAGCAATTCTACTTTTAAAAGCATCAGTGGGTTAGTTATAACTCAAAAATAATGACCATAGTAACCCAACAAAGGGATCCGGATAACAGGCTGCACATACACAAACCTGTATCTCTTCCCACCAAAACTTCACAAAGTAACACAACTTTATACATACTTAAATGTATGATTTTGTCTCAAGTCCTGCCAGAAACCACATATTTTTAAGAAAATGCCATTATTGTAACACGACTTTTGAGAAATTCCTGAGATAGAATGTTGCATGGCAGAGCATGTTTCAAGGAACACATGGCTAGTCTTGGAGCTGAGTTTGGACTCACACCCAGGATGTTACAACAAACCTCTTATGATGAGTCCTTTCTCAGGGCACACTTGCAATGATCTAAGGAGCCTGAAGAATCCTATCTGCTAAGGGTTATATCATAGCCCATTCGTCCTTGGGAATAAAACCTGTAAAACACATGGATCTTTTGAGAGATAGTCATTGTCCAAACTAATATCCAAACTAAAGCCAAGTCATAACTCAGTAGCTTGGAGTGTGGACTTCTTTGGAAAGAGAGTCATTGAAAATGTACTAAGAAGAATTCATATTGGAGTCAGGTGGGCTCTTAATCATGTAAGATGGTGCCCTTGTAAGAAGAGGGAAATTTGGATAGAGACACGGGAGACCATGTGAGGAGGGAGGTGAAGACTACTAGCCAGGGGATGCTTGGGACCACCAGAAGTTGGAGGATCCTCCTCGACTGGCTTTGGAAGGACTTTTATCTGTTTAGCTCAAAATTTGATTTTGGATTTCCAGACTCCAGGACTGAGAGAGAATAATTTCTGCTGTTTGGAGCCACCCAGTGTTTGGTACTTTGTCTTAGCAACCACAGGAAACACTTATGTTTAGATACATTCTGTGACACTTACGTATAAATTAGGCCCACTGTTACTGGTGTGAATAAATAGTCATGATAGCATAAAGAATGTTGTGAGCTATGAATAACTGCAAAGGAAACTCTGTTAAACTTTGTAAAAACATTGTAGGAAATAAAGACTTCATTTCACACACTATGCTGCATCTGTAAGATATATTAGGATTTAAGTAGGAGATAGAATGACTATAGGGATTTAGAAAGGAGATTTAAGACATCAAACCCATCTCACCAGTTTGTGGTATATTGCTATTAATCTGAAAATACTTACATTGTTTTATATCTCTAAAATAATTTCCACTTTTCTCATTAGCAGGAATAGTATCCAGGTTATATTGATTTTTATGTAGGTTAGAAGCACTGTATGAAATCTTATCTGCCTTTTTATGTCGATCAGGAGAAATAACCATATTCATATTCTTATCTTTATGTTGATCAGGAGAAAGAGTTACTTCCATACTCGAATCTTCATCTTTATGTTGACCAGGAGAAATAACCATATTTGTGTCCTTATCTTCATCTTTATGTAGGTCAGGAGAAATAACCATGTTTGTGTCCTTATCTTCATCTTTATGTAGGTCAGGAGAAATAAACATATTTGTGTCCTTATCTTCATCTTTATGTAGGTCAGGAGAAATAAACATATTTGTGTCCTTATCTTCCTCTTTATGTAGGTCAGGAGAAATAACCATGTTTGTGTCCTTATCTTCCTCTTTATGTTGATCAGTAGAGATGCCTGTATTATTTTCTTCTTTAGGTATATTAGAAACAGTACCCATATTCTTGTCTTCTTCGTCAGATTCAGAAGGAGCAATGCCTGCATCCATTCCTCCATCTTTGGGCATGTTAGATCCGGTACCCTCAATCTGTTCAAGTACAGCAGGATTAACGGCCATGTTTTCCTCTTCTTCGTGGACAGCAGGAATAGTGTCCATGTTTGCTACTTCTTCACTGAAAGGTAGCATATCAGGTACCTCTGAAAGGTAAGACACAACAGGGTCAGAGGTACATTGGCTATTCCCTGTTTCTAACTGCATTTTTTCACAAATGATTCAAGACAGATTTAAACCCTAAAGCATACCACATTCCCAACAATATATTTTATAACATAATTTTAGAAAACTCCCACAAACTCCACACAATTATTGCCATCAGTTTTTTAACATGTATTATTTTTATTTATTTAATAAGCAAAGTCACAAATAGAGAGAGATCTTCCACTGCTGGTTCATTCCCCAACTGCTTATCAGAGATGGAGCTGGACTGGACTAAGCCAGGAGCCCAGAACTCCATCTGAGTTACCTACATACTTGGCCAGGACTCACAGCCTTGAGGTATCACCTGCAGCCTTGTGCATCAGCAGGAAACTGGATCAGAAGTAGAGTAGCTGGAGCTTCCATCAGGACGTGGGTATCCCAAGTAGCAACTTAAAATGCTGTGCCACAACACCCACTCTGGTTATCATTCTTATCTATGATTCCTGTGAAAGTTTTAAATGCTTACTTACCGTCAATATTGGGCTTCATGTTGCTGATTGCTAATGGAAAAGCCCCAGGTAAAAAAATAAATAGTATAAAATTCATTGGGAAATGGATGATGTGATTTATCTAGTAATCTACTGTGTCTCCTCAGAGCTTCCTTTCTGTGGCCCAGCAGGCCCTATAACTGGCTAGGACATTGTGACATCACTGCCCGGGAGAGGTCAGAACGTTGTGGAGGATGTTCGGGAGCTTTATGATTCTGGGTGAGGACAATGTTATCTCCAGCACTGTGATGGTCTTTAGCTTTTCTAAATGAGCCATTAGAAAACTTTTGAGAGTTTTTATATTTTCACAAAAGGGTAATTATTGGCGCCTCAGTTTTTTTTAAGGCTTGTTTATTTTAAAGGCAGAGTGACAGAGAGGGAGAGAGAGGGAGAGAGATCGTATTAGTTGGCTCCTGTCCCAAATGACCACAATGTCCGGGGCTGCCCCAGGCCAAAGCTGGGAGCTCAGACTCCAGAGTCTTTCAAGAGACAACAGGTGTCATCTTCTGTTGCTTTTCCAGGTGCATTAGCAAGGAACTAGATGAGAAGTGGAACAGCTGGAACTGCAACAGATGTTCCAATATGGGATGCTGGCAGTTTCAAGTGATGGTTTAACTTGCTACAGCAAAATGCAAGCCCCCACCATGATTTTTTTTAAAGAAACTTTTCCAGAAACTCATTTTTCAAAAAAACTAAAAATGTATATTCTTATAAACTAGAAAATGATTTGTTCCTTGAAAGTGTCTCTTACTTCACATATGGGTGGAGAAAGTAGTCTAGCATTGAGTTGACTTAACTATAGAGGATTTAGCTATAATATGCATTATTATTAATATAATAACTCAAATAACAGGCAATATAGATAAGAAATCAGATGATTGATATTTCTGTCCAGGACATTAATGGGAACCCAAGTTCCCACTTTTGAACTTTTACTGTTGTTGACGATAGCCTTTTAACGTTAGAGAACATTCATATTCAAAATGATACAAGTTATCAGGCAGAAACAGCAGGACTTTAAAGGCCCGGAAAATGTTCTCAAGTGTCATGAGTGCTCACAAGTTAAAGCCAACCTGTGACTGCTCCCCGGCTGAAGCTGCCTGGGGGGTGGGGGGTGGTGCAAGGGGAGAAATGCCTCCTCTGCAGGAGGGGACCAGGCAAGTGGAGAGCAGAGGTAACTACTCACCCAAAAGGAAAAGATGGCAAGCAACAAGGGCTGGGATAGAAACCTTACTCAACCCAGAGGTTGAGTGACTGCTGTTGTGTGCAGCAGTGTTTTCGCTTAGACCAGGGGTGGGCAAAGTCCAGCCTGCAGGTGTAGAAGGCCTGCAGAATCACTTGGTTGCCCTGCCCAGGCAACCGCTGGTGCGACTTGAAATTCAAGAACTTTACAGCAGGTAATTTTGAAGTTGAAAATTTTTGTATGGTCTCTGAAACATAAATAGCCAAAGGGCCTTCCCTGACCAGCAAAAAGCTTCCCCACTTGTGTCTTGGAGCATCCAGTGCCTTCAACTGTGAAATCTGGCTGTGGGACAGGAGACACAAAAGAAGGGCTCGCAGGTGCAGGAGCCTTTTCCTGTGGGTACCAAGGGGACATTGTGGAGAAGGAGAGAAACCTGAAGCAAGTGTGTCCTGTGGGGCTGCAGCTAGCATGTTATCCTAGATGATGGAGTTCAACCAAGATGAAAAATAGGCTGGAAAAGTGAGTCCCATTGCAAGAGCGGCATCCAGTAGAGTGACTTGCTTACCTGTTGAGATGTGGGAGCCAGAGCCAGCTGGAGAAACACATTAACCGCTGCATGCCCCAAACAGACACACTGCAGCATTTACCAGGCGCATGGTAAAGGAGTGAACAGACAGGTTATTTCTTCAGCAGGAATGTAGGTGCTAAAAGGAAATAGCATGTTCTAATGACAGGTTTTCTGTGTTGCCTCATCATAAAACATTTTCTGCTGGAATCCTCCTACAGATCTAGAATAGCCTTTTTAAAAACACCTATTTATTTCACTTATGTGAAAGGCAGAGCAACAGGGAGGAAGGAAGGAAAACATAGAGAATCTTCCACTTACTGGCTTACTTTCCAAAAGGCTGCAACCAAACTGCCAGGGCAGACCAGCCTGAACCCAGGAGCCAGAAGTCTCCACCAGGTCTACCATGTGGATGAAGAGGTCCAAGGATTTGAGCCATCTTCCACTGCTTTCCTAGGCCATCAGCAGGATACTGAATCAAAAGTGGAGCAGCCAGAACTCAAACTGGAGCCCATACTGGATGCCATCATTGCAAGTGGTTGGCTTTACCTGCTATGCCACAATGCCATCCTCCCCCAAAAATTTTTTGAAAAAAAAAAAAGATTTATTCATTTTTATTGGAAAGGCAGACATACAGAGAGGAGGAGAGACAGAGAGGAAGCCTCTTGATTTGTTGATTCACTCCCCAAATGGCCAGAGCTGTGCCAATCCAAAGCCAGGAGTCAGGAACTTCCTCCTGGTCTCCCATGTGGGTGTAAGACCCCAAGGCTTTGGGCCATCCTCAACTGCTTTCCCATACCACAAACAGGGAGCTGGATGAGAAGCAGGGCCACCGGGATTAGGACCAATGCCAATATGGGATAGCAGTGCACACAAGGTGAGGGCTTTAACTGCTAAGCTACCATGCTGGGCTCCCCAAACTTCTTGAGATGAGGTCATTCTGGAGGCAGAAAGGCCCCTTCTCCCATCAGACTGATTCTTACAGAGGTCACAGAGACATACAAAGGGGAAAAATTCATGTGAAAACATGGGCCAAGATCAGCGGAACGAAGCAGAAACACAACACTCGAGCTGGCCAAGCAGCCACCAGTAGCCATCAAAGGAAGCAGCTTGGTCCACATCCTGATTCGGGACTTCTGCCCTCCAGAGTTGTAACGTCATTCATTTCTGCTGGTGAAGCCTCTCAGTTGGCGGCACACTAATGCTAGACTGATTGCTAGAAACGGTTACGGAAATGTACACTGAATATCCACTCTGAAGGTCATGATTTGAGAGTTGTAATTAGCCCCTTCATAAATGTAGATATTCTAGAGCACAACATAATAGAAACATTTTTCATAGTGTGGGGGTGACTGTCCTAGCTGTTAGGATGCCAGTAAGGATACCTGCATCCCATATTGGGGTACTGGGGTTCAAGTCCCAGCTCTGTTCCAAATTTTAGCTTCTGACTAAGTCACATCATGGTAGGCAACAGGTAATGACTCAAGTAGCCGGGTCGCTGTCACTCATGTGGAAGATATGGTTTGGGTTCCCAGCTGCTGGATGTAGTCTGGCTCAGCACTCGTTATTGCAAACATGTGGGGAATGAACCAGCAGGTGGAAACTATCCATTTGTGCGTCTACCTCCCAAATAGGCAAAATCTTAGCTACAAATGTAAAGAACTTCAGTGTACATTTTTTATATATTAAAGCATATTTTAGCCTGTAAAATCCTACCAGTCTATTGTTCACTCATTCTAACAAAGTCATTAGCTATCTGAGGGGACTTCCAAAGGTCATGGAAAATGCAATTAAAAGATAAGCTTATGTGGATGCAAAAATTTTTTAAAATCAGTGTGTAATTTTGGACTATCATGATGCCACTGGGAGAATCATGACACCAATATCCCATCTCAGAACACAATTCCAATCCCAGGCACCCCATTTCCCATCCTGTTCCTTCGTAATGTTCCCGGGAAGGCACTGGATGATGGTCCAAGTACCCCCTGCCACCTGTGTGAGAGATGAAGATGGAGTTCCAGGATTCTGGTTTCAGCCTGGCCAAACCTCTCTCAATTTCCATGTCTTCCCTCACACGGGCCTAGAATAAGAGGCAAACATCCGGGTCTGAGTGACATTACTTCCTACTTTTATTATCATGGGTAAGTCATTTCTTCTGTGATCCTGAATTTGCTTATCAGAAAATAGGGAAATCAAATTTCACTGCAAGTATTTAATACTTTAACCATAAGTATTTAAGAGTCAGTCTTGGGTTGAACTTGCTAAGTTTATTTGCTTC